AGTATAATCTTCAGCCACAATAACTCACAAATGCCTTGAGCCATAGCTCGAAATTCAGCTTTTGCACTTGATCTGGCGACCACATCTTGTTTCTTACTTCTCTATGTCACCAAGTTACCGCAAAGAAACATGCAGTAACCAGTGGTAGAACGACGGTCAGTCACGGATCCAGCATAATCAGCATCAGTGTAAACTTCTAAAGAGAGATTGCCATCACGTCGGAATAACAATCCTTTGCCAGGAGTAGCTTTAAGATACTGAAGAATTCTCTCTACTGCCTGCATGTGTTTCTCCTTTGGATCGTGCATAAACTGACTGACAACACTAACAACATAAGCTAGGTCTGGTCTAGTATGAGCTAGATATATCAATTTCCCAACTAGCCGTTGATATTGTCCTTTATCAACTGGAGGACTCTCCTCTTCATAGCCTATCTTGTGATTACGTTCAATAGGAGTATTAGAGGGTTTACACCCGAGCTTTCCTGCTTCTTTGAGAAGATCAAGAACATATTTTCTCTGGCTGATAAAAATTCCTTTCCTTGAATGAACTACTTCTATCCCTAGGAAATATCTCAGTTTCCCAAGGTCTTTGACTTCAAACTCAGAGGCAAGCCGTGTTTGCAGAATCTCTTTCTCCATAAAATCATCACTTGTGATAATAATATCATCAACATATACAAGGAGCATAGTAAGCTTCCCATTATGGGAGTGCTTGAAGAAAAGAGTGTGATCTCCTTGACTCTGTCTGTATCCTAAAGTCATCATAACCCTAGTAAACCTTCCAAACCAGGCACGAGGTGACTGCTTCAATCCATACAAGGCCTTTTTTAATCTACAAACTTTATTTTCTCCCTTCACAGAATCAAAACCAGGCGGAATTTCCATGTAGATTTCTTCTTCTAACTCACCATTGAGGAAATCATTTTTCACATCAAATTGATTTATATCCCAATCGTAATGGGCAACAAGGGATAATAAGACTCTCACCGTATTCATCTTTGCAACTGGAGAAAATGTTTCTTCATAATCAATGTCATAGGTTCAGTGTAACCTTTGGCAACTAATCGAGCCTTGTATCTCTCAAGAGTTCCATCAGAATTATATTTTAGGGCATAAATCCATCTGCACCCTACTGCTTTCTTTCCATTAGGTCTATCAATAACCTCCCATGTTTTATTTTTCTCCAACGTATTCATCTCCTCTTGCATGGCTTGAGCCCAATTCCCATCTTTCAAGGCTTCATGTACTGATTTTGGGATTGCAATAGAGTCTAGTGCTGAAACAAAGCTTTTGTGCTGCACAGAAAGATTAGCAGAGGAAACAAAATGGGAGATAGGGTATTGAGTACAAGACGGACAGGAGGAACAAGATTTCTTGGGACAAGATCTTTTTCCTTTTCTAAGAGCAATTGGTAAATCATCAGAATCAGTAGTAATGAGTAAGTCATCAGAAGTATTAACATCATGATCAGAAATATGAGATTTAGGACTTACCAGTGGTTCAGACGATTGAGGTTGCTGCTGAGGCAATGTGGGTTGTTTCTTTCTTTGATATACCAACTCAGGTGTCATAATCTTTCGTATCTCTGTTGTACTTGATGTATCAGTAACAGGAGGATCAGACACAGGAAGAACATGAACAAGAGGGGGATACACTAACACAGGTAAAGGAGTAGACACTGAAGACTCAAAGAAGGGAGGTGATAAGTTTTCTGGTGAAGGATTCTCCCCCTGAAGATGAGGACCTTGGAAAAAGGACTCAGATTCCTGAAATGTGACATCCATAGAAACAAAAAAATTTCTACTACCAGGGTGATAGCACTTGTAGCCCTTCTTATCAGGAACATAACCAAGAAAATCATAGTTAATAGCCCTAGGGTCCAACTTACTGCGATGATGTTTATGAACATGAACAAAAGCAACACACCCAAACACACGTGGAGGAAGATTCATAGTTGGAATAGAAGGGAAAAAAGAAGTTATAGAGTGAATAGGACTTACACGGTCAAGTACCCGAGTGGGTAAACGGTTGATCAAGAATGCTGCAGTAAGAATAGTATCTCCCCAATAATATTTGGGTACATGTGTCTGAAACATTAATGCACGAGCCACTTCAAGAAGGTGACGATTTTTTCTTTCAGCAACCCCATTCTGTTGAGGGGTGTCAAGACAAGTAAGTTCATGAATCATACCGTTATTTCGTATAAATTGGGAAAAACTGTGATTAACATATTCAGTACCATTATCTGTTCTTAGTCTCTTGATTTTTTTACCAAATTGAGTCTCAACCATTTTATAAAATTGAGAGAACAGTTGTGGTACCTCAGACTTTTCACGCATTAAGTAAACCCAAGTTACACGAGCGCAATCATCAATAAAAGAAACAAACCATCTATTTCCAGAAGCATGAGGGACTTTAGAAGGACCCTGAACATCAGAATGAATAAGATCAAAAGGTTCAACACTCTTAGTAATACTAGAAGGAAAAGACACACGATGATGCTTAGCAAACTCACAAACATCACAATGAAAAAACTCAACAGACTTAGACAAAAACAATGACGGAAATAAAGACTTGAGTAAACTAAATGGAGGATGTCTCAAGCGCTTATGATGAAGCCAAATCAAAGAATCAGCAGTTGATTGACCATGAGACATCAAGATGTGATATGTTACTTTGTTTGTGGGAGATTGTGACACCAGATAATACAACCCACCTTGCTCTTTAGCACTACCAATCGTCTTCCCCGTGGCGAGATCCTGAAAAACACAATGGATAGGGAAGAAGGTTACAATACAATTCAAATCTTTTGTAATTTTATGAATAGAAAGAAGATTCGTGGAGAGTTTAGGAACATGAAGAGCATCTTTAAGATGTAAGGACTGTTATAAGTTTATGTCACAAGAACCCGCCACTGATGTATGAGAGCCATAAACTATGGCTATTGTATGAGTTCCAATGGTAGGATGATAAGAAGTAAAGGAGTCAGCACAACAAGCCATATGATCAGTAGCACCAGAATCAACAACCCAAGAATGTTTAAAATTATTACATGAAGAAAGGAAAGATTAAGTTTTGAAGCTCATACCAGTCATAGCCAAAGCACTAGTATCAGATGGCTTACTCAGATAATCAAGAATGGTTCGGAGCCGTTCCAACTCATCTGGACGAAATGCAGGTTGGGTCTCATTAGGTGCAGGAGTTATTTCAGAGGAAGTAAAATGTGCTTGACCACGCATCCTTGCCATCTTTTCTAAGACAGTTTGCTTTCCATGGAGGCGAAAGCATAAATCCTTGATATGACCTGTTCTTTTACAATAAGAACACCATCGATCATCTCTCTTAGGTCTAGAAGATGCACCATCATAAAACTTTGTAAAGGAATTCCTTTGAGAAGAGGCCATACTGCACAAAGGATAACACCAAGAAGCCAAAAAATCACAAAAAAGTACCAAATGACGTCCAATCTGAGAGGAAGGCACAGATCCAGAAAGAGGATGAAGAGACGATCAGAACGCTTTTGGCCGGAGCTGGAAATAGTGATCCACGCGCCTCCACGCCCCGGTGGAGGTGTCTGCGAGTGGGCCTCACTCGCCGGGAGTGTGGCAGCGCGTGCGGAGGCCGCCGGAGCTGAGATTTCTGCGGCGAGGTCGTCCAACGGTCCCGGACTTGTCTGTGTCCGGTCAGAGTTGAAAGGTCGCCGGAAAAGTGTCCAAAACGAGATGAACAGTAGCGGCCTTGTGTTGTTTTAGGGAGATCCGGTCGTCAAACGATTATAACACATCCGTAAGCTGATAGATCAAAGAAAAAGATTTGAATATAGGTCCTCTTGGTCCAAAAAGGTCCACCGAAAAATTTTCCAGTGGCGGCGAGATGCTGAGAAAGAAGATTTCTATTTTTAACGGAGGTAATTGCGGAAGCAGAGCCCTCAAAATCGAGAGCTCTGATACCAACTTAAAAGAAAAGGGTATTTGAAATATTATTGAATTGTGTAATTAATCTGTACAAAGAGGTCTCTATTTATAGAGAATGAAAAACCCTAATACTTGACCTAATACAACAAATAATAATAATTAAATAACCAATATTTACAACACAAACAGTAAAAAACAAGGAACAAATTTCAAAAAACTAAACAACACTGATCCCCTAGTCCATTTGAATAATATAAATTTCAGATTTTAATGAACAAGAAATGAATTATGAAAAGGGAAACAACAAACTTACCCTCTAGAAAAAGCGATGATAGATAGACCTAGTTGATGTTTTGAGGCAGATTACCTCGGAGAATTAGACAATCGAACTACTGAATGGGGATTATCCCCTTGTTATATAATTTAGAAAAAGTACTTTTTTTTGTGAGACGGAAGTTTCTGGGAAGGTGTTTAAGCCTTTAAGGCCATCTTTCCTTATACATGTGACGTGAAACCTTTTACCTTCTTCTAAAATCTTCATCGTTGATGAGGTATATATCAATTATTAAGGTGGTTGTTCAGACATTAAGTCATGTACCAATAAATGTGATGCATATTTAGCTACCAAGCATTAATGGAGGATCATACTCTATATATATCATAGCTTTCTGGATTAGAAACGGAAAAAAATTGCCTAGTTGGAAAACAGAAATTCTGTAAAACTCTTTAGAAGTCTGCCACAATCGCTTGAAAAGTTACCGTTAAAATTTTTAGTATCTGATTAAGATATTCTTATAAATGTTATTACGAGACTAATTTCTCAAATATTCTCGTAGTCATTGGGAGGTTTTTTCAACTGTTAAAAATGCATGCTAACCTCAATAAACTCTGTTATTTGTCCCATGGAGGACATATGATATTGAGTGGAAAACTGGAACTATAAATGAAAAAATAATTAAAACAACATCCATTTATTAGTTGATGGTTTAAAAATAAAGAGTCTCATTAATCTTGTGGGGAAAAAAACAAAGGAACTCATGCGAAACTCTATCCAAGATTAAATCTTCTAATTGACAAAGCACATCAATGTTGACATCAAATTTGAACATGAAAACTCATCCATTACTAAGAAAAAAATAAATAGGACAAACTCGAATAACATGCTTGTGATAATTACAATATCTCTTAACATTCTCACACAAGAGATACCAAAATTTTAGTACTTCTAAGTGAATCACAAAGTGACACAAGAAACAGAGACTTACTTCATCTCGAAGCCCAAAAAAGATATTGCCAGCTCTATTGAAGCAATTTATGTCATGCATATTTCACAATATGAGCAACAGCCAACAGACTAATTGGCAAGCAAGAAAACTTCACAGGGCAAAGCTTTCTGGTCCGGGCAAAGTGATTATGTGAATAAGCCATATCTCTTTCCCTTTCTCACTGGTACTTCAATAAGAAAGCATCTACGGTAGCAGTATCAAAGGCCAGTACTCAATCCATAAATAGCTTTCAAGAGACAAGGTACCCAGCAAAAACATTTTACCAAGCTATTATATATGAAGAGCCTGGCACATGATGGTGTGAGAGAAAATATCTCAGAACATTTTGATTCCCAATATTCAGGCAACCATGATAAAAGGGCCTACCTACTCCAATATTCCCTCCATACCATTATAGAATTAGAATTACAATCACAAGTCTCCATTCTACCAGAGAAATTCTGCCATAAGTTTACGCAGTAATTTGGGGCAAAGCTTGGAAGAATGTCCATCACAGCACCTGAAGGTAAAGCAGCTAGGCCAGACCTGGGATACCAGAACCTGAAATCGTTTAAAGATCAAAATAAGCTTTATCATTGCAACACACATGCGGAAATATCTCAAGTAAGCGCCAAGCATTAGTAGGACTATAACTCAAAACTTTAGTATGGGGAAAAAAGGAAGTATAAAGTGGATAGAATAAAAAATGTATGAGTGATTCTTAGAACGATACCTTCAGTCTAGTATGAGTTCTGAAACATGTCCAAGGGTCCAATAGCACCTCATTATGCCGGTACCCAACAAGTGGAAGCATACAAAATGCGGCCCTTCCAACCTTGAAGCATCCAGTTGTTGTTTTCATCAAATACAAAATCTTTGTGGTACAATTCCCTTAAATTGGCCCTAAATTTGGCCATTAATTTCTTATCCAGTGGGAGCTGCTTGAAACCAGCCCTCGTATTCCTAACCTGCCATTGTTTGTATGTCTCGGGCCTCTCAGCCCTCTGGAAACCTTCACATGCTATAACATTTATAGCCTCCCGACCCACAATCTCTCTCTCAATCATCATCCTACTTGGATTTTCACGGGGTATGACATTGTCACACATATCATACAAAGCAGAAAAATGGAAAAGCGCCTCCCTGAACCGTGTGACAAAGAAAGGGGAATTATAAGATCCATTAATGACTGACTGAACAAAAATATCCGGATTTATCTTCCGGATCAAGTGGAGAACTGCATTTCTAGGACTGTTTGCCTCAAAAGTCTCATCCAGTAAATTCTTAAACCTGAACAGACAGTTCACAGCAACTAGCTCGTTGCTCTCAATTTTAAGGTCTTGTACTTGAATGTTTTCCCAGTTCCGTGATGCTATGGCATTGAACTCAAACGGAACGTTGAAACGCTTGCAATAGTTAGCCAGACGTTGACCAGTCTGCTCAATTCTTTCTGCAGGACGAAAGCCAGGTTGGGGAAACTCTATCCCCGTGATCTTCAGCTTTGGAGGTCCACCATCTCTTTTTGATAAAAACTTAATAAATACAGGATACCGAAAACCTAATAGGATGCCAAAATCAATAATATGAAGGGTTTCTGCCTTTTCAGCTGCTTTCATAATCATGTTATTTGCAAATAAATATGCAAACTTCTTGAAAGGGCAGGCAGATAGATAAACATCGGTAGCTTTCAAAAACTCAGCAGCAGTGATCCTCTTGGAGCTCATAGAGTAATAAAATCCTTGTGCACCTGTACCATTGCCAGCCAAGCGTGCCTCAAGGCCATTGGCAAAGTAATGAGCCAAAGTCTGTGATGCATCCCCAAAGGGAGAAGAATGCTGTCTAATCTCCTTTAGAAGTTCATTGGCAGTACTATTGTCATTGACATACATAGCTTGTGCACACAGAAGCAGAAGAGACCTCAAATCCACTGTTTCCTTCTTCCTTCCTTGTTTCATAGGATGAGCAATCTCTCCATCAAACTTTTCACCTGCCTGTTCAGCTTTCAATTCCTTACACAGGGACACATTCTCTACATTAAGCAACACTTTATCAAACATTTCTGATAACTCACTCTCATCAACAACACCAACTGCTGATTGCTTATTACTTCTCCCTTCTTCTTTGCTATCACTTCCTTCACGCTCATGATTCTTTCTACCCTTCAACCCAACGGAATTCTCCCCAAATGATTCTCCAAGTGAATCAAGACCAGTTACAAGCTGAGGTGATGGAGGAAGAAACTTGCTAGCTTCCTCTAACCCTCTCCTAAACAGGGAGACAGAATCTGCCTCACTGAAAACATTTTGTGACAACATTTTGGTAATAGAAGAATCCAAATCTAACAGTCCATCACTAACAGCAACACTATTAGAAGGATGTTGAGAAATGGCAGGGGAATTATAATGAGAATCATTATCACAAGAAACAGAAAGAGGGGTATCAGGAGAAGGGGGCTTCAACTCACGAGAATTGTCATCTAAAGAGTTGCTAGCGCCGCCGCCGCTGCTGCTGCTGCTGCTGGTGGTGGTGGCTCCACCGTCGGGACTAAGAATATCGAGGGGGTGTTGATTGGGGGAATGAGGTAAGTTATCAGTGAGAGCATCATAGAATAATTTCTCGGTGACTTGCAAGCTAAGAGGGTCAAAAAACGGCATCTCTTCAACGTTCTCTTCCATCAAGGTTTGGCTCATGAAGTTCATAATTTCTGAGAAGTCAGATTCTTCCATGAAGGGATCGGTGATGGAGGACATGGACATGGTTGTCGAAGACGCAAATTGACCTTCAAGTTTCAACACGATTATGCTGCCCTCTTCACCAAACCAAACACACGCGAGACAAGAGATGGATTGGTGAGGTAAGAGAAGCTTCCAAGAAGGACGATGCAGGTCAGTCAACTAAGACACGCTGGTCAAAAATATAATACTATAGTATATATATTGGGATTGTATTTTCTCATGTTGCATATGAGAAGAGCTATCTCCTACACACACAGAGAGAAGAGAGAGGAGAGAGAATAAGGAAGCAAAAAAAAATTAAAATGGATCCCACGTTTACTTTGTGTCTTATGCATAAGATAACAATCTTATGTAACATAAGATTATTATTTCACATATATATTTTGTGGAAAATGACTAATGGCAACAAATATGAGGAGAGATATTTTTACTACTAAAATTTTTTACTATCAATTTACTATTTATCTAATTACCATTAAATTAATATTTTCTTTCTCTTCAAAAACTTTATCCAATGATAATGTGATGGGTAGTAAATTAGTAGTAAGATTTTTTAGTAGTTAGAATATCCTCACTCAACAAATGTACCACCGGCTTTTGCTTTATTGAGGTATTTTGGTTTTAATTTTTTTTTTTTGGTTTGAATTGTTCCATTTGTTTAAAATATTTTTGATTAAGGACAAAAAAAATTTTTTACCCATAAACTATGGTTTCTAGGATTTATGTTGCACCGATATTGACACGGGACATGACACGTCGACACGTTATTTTTAAAAAATGTCATATTCGGACATGTTGCGACACGTTTTGATATTAAATAATATTTTTAATATATATAATATAATTTATATTTAATACATATAACAGCTCATAATAAGTCATGTAACCAATCAAATATTCAAATGTTATAACATAAATATAAACAAAAATAATTTTTGGTACATTGTAAATTTTTTATGTCAAATTTCATAATAGGAAAAAATTGATTTGTAAATTATATTTTTAAGTTTAGTTAAAAAAAAAAAAACAAACGTGTCGGAACGTTGACCGCGTGTCGTAAAAAGTTGACTGCGTGTCGAAAAAGCGTGTCGGAACATTGATCACGTGTCCTAAATTGTTGACCGCGTGTCGGTGTCCGACACATGTCAGACACACATTTTTTCAAAAATATCGCCTGTCCGAGCAATGGAATCTAGGATTACGATGGGTAGGGGTGCTAAACAAATCAGGGGTTTTGGCTCGGCTCGTGAAAGACTGAGCTTACATGTCTAAAATTAGTTGTTGGTACCAGGCTTGGATTTGTATAAAAGCTCGTTTAATAAAAAGGCCTCAGGCTCCAATTTAAAGGCTCAGCATTAAAGCCTCTCAGGCTGGCTTAGTATATTATTTTTTAATTATATTTTATATTTTTTATACTACTTGTAATAGCCTTTTCTTTCTCCTCATTCCATTTCAGCTCATTTTATTAGTTAAACAGACTTTTTGAATGATTTTGTTTTATATTATGTTGTTTAGATATAAATTAAATTTATGAATATTCATAGAATTACTAGTTTTGTTGATTGTATATTCTGTTTGGATAAATTTTTGTTGTCTTGTTTTTTTTAAACAGGCTAAACAAGATTTTTTTTTTTTTTTTGTAAATAAGTCAGACAGGCCGATAGTTATAAATATTTATAACAGATAACAGGCTTGATCAGGCTGACACATTTAAACACAGGCTTAGCCTTTTAAGATCAAAGTTCGGCTCGGCTTGTTAACACGCCTGATGATCAGAATGTTACTTCCTCAAAAAATATTATCAAGAAGCTATTCAATAGTCCAAAATATTATCGGGATTTTATTCCAAAAAAAGTATCTAATTTTTTTATCATATGAGATTCCAAAAATACCACCAAATAAGTGGTATTTTTAGATAGTATTTTGTTAAAAAATTATACATAAAATAAAATTCCAAAATAAAATTTAAAAATTTTATACCAATATTGGATAAATAAGATTACCATTGTTATTTTTCAGGAAAACTCAAAAAAAAAAATTCAGTTTAACGAGGGAGAAGTAGAAGAATCAAAATTATTATATCAAAAAAAAAAGTTTAAAAAAAAATTATTTAAATGTCACAATGTTTTTTTATTAAAATATTATATTTTAAGATCGGTAGTTACTCCTAACGAACTGCGCTAATCACGCGTCCCTTGATAAGGACGCACTATCTACGGAGCACTTTAACACGTACTGCATCGAGCGGATAAGGAACCAATTTAAGCCATGTGGCTGTGTCTTTTTGGATATCTTAAATTAGCATTTCTCAAAGTGCGTTCATTAGCCTTCATGATCAGTCATTGCCATGTTAAATAGAATAGGACCCAGATCCTCTAATATAAAAAGAAAATGGTAATATAAGGAAATTATAATTATATAAACATAAATTAATGATGATAATTTTATAATTATCTATTTTAATATTTCATTTAAATAGGTTGCACAATCTCACATACTTCAGTTTTATAACACGCTATTTATTTTTTTTGGTAAATAAATTATGGAAAAAATGATTATCCTTTTAATTGACACAACTTATATCTTTTTACTCTCACAAAAAGGTGGGACTTACACCTTTATTTTTTTGTCAACTCTCTCTCCTCCTTTATCTATCTCTTTTTCTCTCTTAAAATGACCACAACTTTTATATACTTTATCTCAAGATTTGCTCATATGACCTCTAAAATAAATTTCTTTCCATTTCAAAGACAAGTTGTATATATAGGTGAAATGATTTCAATATACAAAACAAAAGAAATTGAAAAATTGTGGGTAACTATTGAAAAGAAAAGTGAATGTTTTTATATATTTATGAAAACGAGAATATTCTATTCAAAGGCACAATGTGTTCAAATTTTGTAAATACAAATTTATAAAATTTTAAATACTAATGACACAAATTATTGCAAAAAAAATAAGATAACAATCAGATGGTATTCAATATCTTTATGGGGTAAGGGTAAAGAAGATAAAAAAAAGAAAATTCATTTATTATCTTTTTTAACAATGAATAATGATGAAAGGACTACTTTGTTTCGCAATAACAAATATTCAACACCAAATTCATCGAAATGTTCCACTATAGCGTATTTATTTTTTACATAACTCATGGAGTAAATAACTATATTTGATTTGCATAATATTTTTGTTTATGGTTGATATTTGCAAAATTCTGTGTTAATATACTAATTTTTTTCACCTGAAATATACAACAAGATTGCAACACAATTTTTTGTAAGTATAAGATTTGTAACGCGAGGAACCAATCACGACGGACGACAAACATTTTGATCTTTTTTCTCTGTGCACCGCACAAGTCATATACTAGTTACATCCTTTAAAATGATATACACTTTTCCCATAAATTATAACACACTATTTAAGCTAAACTCTTCCACCTGGAATTTGGAATTATGACTAAAATGCTACCGTCACACTCAATTTCCATATATCCCTCCAATAAATTCCAACACCAAACACTGATTTGACAGCATCTGAGACTATTAGGGCCCGTTTGGTACGCAGTATTCTTCAAGATTTTCGAGAAATTGAATTTTTTTAAATTTTAAATTTTCAAATATTATCATAAACTGAATGTAAAATTCATATTTTTGAAAATTGAGATTACCGGATAAAAAAAAAATTTCCTCTACCAAACACTCTCTTAGTATAGAGCTGTAGAGGATAGAGAAAAATAGAGATAGCACAAGTGTCTCGTTCTGAATAAGATCTTGTCTTGAGATGAAAAGGCTAGTGTTATCTATAAATATTGTGGGCCAACCTTTGGTATATAATAAAAAAATAAAGATATTTAAGAGCCAATTTTTATTTATTTATTTTTACACTATTTGTTTAGAAAATAATATAATAAAAATGAAAATATTTTGATTTACAGTCTTTCAAAGAAAATTTAAGTAAATAAGATTTAACAATGATTTTTTTGTGTAAATATCATTTTAATAAATAATTGCCCTAATGTTCTCACAGGCAATATTATTCATATGAAAAAACTACATCTTCTTCACATTTTTTAAGCATGAAAAATAAAAATAAAAAAGTTTTCGTTTTTCCTTTTCTTTGCAAAAATGACAACCAGATATAGGAGGTCTTACAATAAAATGGATTTTACTTGAATTATTTATACAAATTTCTTTCATAATTTGAAATATTTTTAATATATATTTTCATATTAGACCTGAATTAAAAAAAACACACGTACAATTAGTAATAAAATTTAATCTTCTTATTGACAAAGCACATCAATATTGAACATCAAATTTTAACATGAAAACTCATCTTTAACTAGGAGAAAAAAAAAACAGGACAAACTAAATAAAAAATAAAAAATGCCCAAGATAATTCGATTATCATCCCTACATTCAGTGGCGGACGCAGGAATTTTAATGACGGGGGCAAAAATAAAAAATATTATATTATAAACAAAAATATTTGAAATATAATACAGACCTAATATAAAAAAATTAAAAGAAATCTATTACAAAGATTAAGATCACTTCATTTGACTCTTATTTTATGTATTTTCTTATTGTTAAACTTATATATAATTGAATCCATGTTAAAACTCAAAATAATTTCTTTTTTATTGTATGTAATCAAAGAATCATCAAGAAATTGGTCTTCTATTTTATTTCGAAGCTTGTTCTTGATTTTATTTTACTCATGCGGATCCTAACTTTTTTCTTTCTTTTTAAATGTCAGAATCTGCATGTGTAAATATGTTTGCTACAAAAAAATTCATATGCCATTGCTACAGAAAAGACAAACCCATAAATAAATCATATTATCCATTATCAATAAATTAGATACCCACAAAGTTATATGTGTCCTTTCATTCTTTTTATAGCTAGAATTGTTGGAAATTTAAAGAGATTAAGAATAATTTAGAAGAACACACTACAATTTTTTAATCTAATCACGTGTTTGGTAGGAGGTGAAAAATAAAAATTTCCTAAGAAAATGGGGTTGAGAAATTATTTGCCTATGTTTGATAAGAGATGAAGTAAAAATATGGCTAGAAATTTTTTTTTCCATCATTTGCTTTTCTATGTAAAATAGTTGGA